ATGGCAGCGTTCCTGGTGACTCTAGGAAATGAGATCAAATACATTATTCTGTATATATTTTTCAACTTCCAACAAATGTTTATGTTTAAGGGTTTCTAACGGGTTGATTCCTGGCTGCATCAAAGCTCAGTGTAAATGCGGTATAAAAGGGAAACCACGGAAAGCCAGTTATTACCACGTCCTTTATCCAGAGTCACTTTGCCATTAAAGAATTAAAAAGGCACAGGAACACTCAGACTAACACTGGGTGATGCCACTTCATACCAGCAAAGAACTAGACTTGTTGAATCACGTCTTCTGCCCCAGCGGCTCAGATGGTGGGAGCAGGATGCGGATATATTCCGTTAGCTTTAGGTCCCACAGAGCTCAGAGGCCAACGCCTCCACTGGGGTGGCCCTCCAGTGCTCCACTTCATACTGCTTGGCTTGCACAGCGTGAGCGATCTTCAGCAGATCAGCGAAACCAGCCCTTCAGCTTTATATAATAAGCTCTGTTTTATAATGTGGAATTGTTTTGTAGTTGTCAAACGGAACAGAACTGTAATCAGCACAATTTGAAATTTTAATATACAATATAATTCAATCAAACAAAAATTTCAAAACAGTTTTGATTGAATTAAAAAAATCGAAAGAGCTATAATGAGTAGTTTATGTAAATTAAACAGTTCTTTCTGGATACATTCCTTCTGGCTTTAAAACCATTACATTAGGAATGAATTTGGCAGAATATACAGAAATATCAAATGCTTATTGAAATTAACACATTTAAATACCAATGAATATTTAAACTACAAATAGTTCTCTGAATGCCAGAGCTAATGAAGTCTAGTTTCATATGGATTTTTCTGCAATTGAAATGTATTATCTTACAGCCTCTCTCGATCACGTGGATTCTTAGGAATGTACTAGCGCAGGGGTTCATGCTATACTGTTTCCCTCGGTTAAGTATTTATAGGATCTCTCTCCTTACCTAAACACCCGCCATAATGAAACATGCAGGAGTCTAATGATCTCAGACTTCAAGTGTTCTGTCTTAAACAGCTGAAAATAGCTAACAGGTTTAAAAGTTGTTAGCAAGGAAAAATGTACAGAAAAAGCAATCCTTAGAAAACAACATTAGTAAGTAATCAGTTTGTATGTGGTTTGAAATTGATTAGTATTGGTCAGCTGTCTTAGTCCAATGTTTTGTTCAATAATTCCAAGTTTCTATGTAGGTGTAAGGGTCTACCACCTACGTACTTTCATTTATATATGTCCTCACTTTGGATAAAACCACTGTGCAAAATTTGCATATTATTGCCTATGAAAGAAGTGTTATGACACTCAACTTATTCCACAGTTGGATGCCAGGCATTCATTTATGTTTTGGAATATTTAACTGCTTTATTTGAATTACTGTTATCCATTTCTTTGTACAAGCTAGTCTGCACTCTGTAATATCAACTCTTACCAAAGTCTTAAAATGAAAGCTCAGAGAAAAGATTTACTGGGAGGAAAAACCCCAGTGGATGATTAAGAAGTCCAGCCAACAAGACACCCCGCTCCTTCCTTACTTACGTGTGCCCACTTCTTTCTCCAGATCTCAGGGCTGTACCTCTGACGTTCCTTTTGAACCCAGGGGTAGCATTTCAAATGCGAGATCACGTCACAATAGGCAGTGCCATTTCCTCCACGTTCATCGTTCACTTTAAACAGCCAACGCCACACTTCCATATGGTCAACAATCAGCTGGCTGAGAACATGAATCAGCTGTGGAGCAAGCAATGACACAAAGATACGCTGCATTATGACCATATCAAATTGTTCCTTGATTTAGACTTCCTGTTTGCAAATATTTGGACTTGAAATGTATTTTCTAACTATGGTTTCTGTTTCTTAGAACCGCTTGTGTTGTTACAGCTATCTCAGATACTTAGCAAGAGCAACCTTGCACAATTTTTGATGAAGAATCTATGGCCTTCATCCCGTACTTGCGTCTGCTTGGGCATCCTACCAAACAGCAGCAGAACGCCTTTGGCGGTCAACAGAGCCGTATTCTGCAGAGAGGAATTTGCCTGTCCAGGCTTTTTTGTCTGATCAAGATTTTAGATTTTGGCTAATCAGTACAGCTCAATAAACATTTGTGAAAGGGAATAACATGGGATGTTCTACAGTATTTGCAAAATCAGAGAAACAACTGTGCCAGACCCTAACACCAGCCAAAACATCTGTGAAATTTTCCTACTGGAGAGTACATTATGTGGTTATAAATGTATGAAGGAGTTACCAGGCAGGCTTTATAAAAATGCTAATTATTTATTTGTGTATGTACACAGATTTAAATGGCTTTAAAATGCCTTTTGCCCAGCTGGCGTAGGATGCAATTAGCTTCTTACAAACTGCAAATGCCTTTAAACCTGGTAAAAGTATTATCAGATCTTGTTGCATTGGCTAGAGCCTTCTACAGTTTTACATAGTAATTTTGGGGGCTTTATTTTTTTTAATGTTGACCTCGAATACAATTACAAGTGCGTTCCAGATGCTATTATTTGTGGCTTTTGAGAATTGCAGAAACGTGTTTTTCTTGATGATTCCCTTGCAGTAATGAAAAAGATCAATAATACTGTAAGGACTGTACCAATCATAAAGAATTATGTGCTCTCTTTAAGTGCAAATTGAATTGTGCTTAAACATAGCGTCACCTTGCTTTGATTATTTAACCTGAAATGTCTATATTTCATACAGGCAAACAACAGAATTTCCATAACACTGTAGTATGAATCAAAAGCATTAGATTCACATAAATTACTTAAAATAAATCAGTTGTTTTTGAGATCATTGATCATATTTATTTTATCTGCTATAGAAGTTGCAATGTATTTGTGTAGCTTAGATTGTTTTCAGTGTTAAAGGTGATTAAGAAAAAGCCTCTCTAAGAACTACAAATACCTACAAACCATGGCACTGATTATTTTCCTGTGTAAGATGTAGCACCACCATAAAAATATTTTTTAAAAAATCAGTATGGATCATACTGAGACATAGCATTGCAAATTGTAAAATCAGCTTATAGAATCGAATACTGAGGCACTGAATAAAAAATAAACGGACGTAAACTGAACACAGTACAGAAAAGTCTTGTGCCTTCTAATTTTAGTTTAGTAATATTTTGTGCTTTTCTTACTGGTCATGCTAACAAGAGAGGTGAATTTAGCAACGATAAGCCAGAGTCAAGGTAAAACTCCAGTTGCAGATATGCTCAGCAAACCTCAATTTGAATAGGCTGACTTCCTAAGTGGAAGAAATTTTTCCTTCATCAAATACTTAGTTTCCCAGAAATCCCTGTTCTATTTTCAGTCACTGGGAAAACTCTACTAATCTCACTGAGGCCATGACTTCATCCACGGAGCAGCACCACAGAGTGTTTGAAATAACTGGACCAAACACCCTTATATATTCTCCAGAAGGACCATGAAGAATTCCAGAACAATTGTATTACTTTCTGCCTAGGATCCAAATTGCATTTAATTGGTCAGATAGGGCCCAAAAGAACACAACCTCAGACACGATTTAATCAAACCCGCTTAGAGTCTAATCAATACAGTCAGTGCAAGTGTACAAAGTTCGCATCCTACCAAGTGAAAACAGGCACCTGCATGCTGACGCATCCCAGACCACATCCTGCTTACCTGGTCATTGTTGTAGATGTCAGACTCTCCAGGAGGGGTTGGCACACAAGCACTGGCAAAAATTCGTTTACTTCCAGACTTGGTACTATAGAGATGAGCCACTTCTGGCACAGAGCCTAACACAGGCACGTTTAGCATGTCAGCCACTGCTAAATCATCTTTGTGGGGAACCCCTCCGATAATGTAGGCATCTCTGCCCTGGATAAGAATTTTTATTCTTTTGATTGTCTTGGGACTGTACTTCAGCTGAGTGGCTAGGCACATGTGATGCTTCTGTATAAAGATAACATTATTCTTGTTAAAAGGTGTTCTTCTCTATTCCATGAACCTAATTTATAATGTTGCACACAATAAATACATTATTAATAGCAGGCTGGGTTATGACCTATCCTGTAGCTTAGCAGTTTAAATTGATAAAAGCTGTTGGGGTGAGGCTCCATAATCGTGCACATCTTTAGTGTGCTGGAAATGGGCTCACTGGGAATAGAACTAATTACTACACATCTGTATTTATTTGATCCACGCGGAATTATCCTTCTGTCAGCCAGCAGAGAGGCTGGTGGCCTTTGGATAATAGTGATTCATCTCAGCAACACTTCTGGCATGGTTTAACGCTAAAGCTCCTAAAAATCAATACAAAAATGAAGAAAAACCCCTATAGCAGAGAATGTATTTCACCATACAGTTCAGCAGTATTTTAAGCGATTCTCTGAGAATAAAACACTTTGATTTAGCAAAGATTTCACTGACCACATTAAATTCCTGGGGAGATACATTTCCATTACACAGTAGTTCTGATAGCTACTGTAAATGCAACTGCAGAGTACTCAGAGGGAGGGTAGTATTTTTTTGTTGTTTAAAATACCAGGGTTTCACCTTTTTGGAAGGAATTTTTCATTTCTTCTAAAAATGATGATCTATTGCTGAACAAGCTGCTTACGACAAATGTTCTAACTTCTACATTTAAACTAAGAATATCAGTTGAAACCTCAAAAATATTTTCTACAACATATCCTATGCATGGCCTGCAGGTAACCCCATTATCCTTCCAAAGATACAGAGGTGCACTGAGGTTGAGACAGGGAGGGAAGGACATCATGCAGAAATAGTACAAGAGACATCCACTGCAACAAATTGCCATAAACAAATTATAATTGTAACAAGAAGAAAATGCTTTTCACATTGAGATTTCATCTAATTTAGGCCCTACGCAGGAAAGTATTCCTTTTCAGGATAGCACAAACACTGGGATTTCCAGGATTGGAGAACCCAGAATATTTTCCTTCAAAGTTCTGGATGCTCCTTCACAGGGACTGCAGTATAAACCCTGATTCCCCTACTGGGATGGGAACAACGGTGGAAAAGGAGATATTGGAGTCCCTGAAAGTGGACAGAAGGAATCCCCTTTTGTCAGTTCCTCGGTGCTTTCTCATACCAAACACACTGCTCCACAAAGCGCCCAAATCTCTCTGTAAAGGAGTCAGACATACTGCAAGGAAAGTGAGGATATCAGTCAGAGATATGAGATACTCTTCAAAGTGTTAGCAGGAAAAAGGGAGCCACAGAAGTACAAGGGCAAAAAGAACATAAAACAAGTTTCCTGGAGAGTTTTTCCATCACTTTAAAAACGGAGACTCTTAACATTCCGATTCATTTGTTTCCTTTCTCTTGAGCACTGGTATAAAAGCAGGGAGATGGCCCATTCTGTTGGTCTCATGGCAGAGTTCTGCCACATAGAGAACAGGATCAATTTCCAGCCCCGGTCACTTGCTCCCTGGGGCCACGAGTGGTGATGTAGGGACAAGATTTGCTTTGTGTCTCTCAATAATGGATTTTACAGTTAATTAAGGAGTGCAGGAAACAGGCTGTAAA